TAAGTGATATCTCTCGAGTGTCTAAACTGTTAAAATTTGTTTTGTTTGCTGATGACACTAATTTATATTGCTCCGGAAATAGCTTGGACCAGTTGCTCAAGACAGTGGAAAGAGAAATGAAGAACATTAAGAAATGGTTTGACATCAACAAGTTGTCACTGAACCTAAGTAAAACAAAGTTCATAGTATTTGGTAATAGGCAAATCAAAAAGCAAGTACAAATGATGATTGATGATGTTGAGATAGAAAGAGTGTATGAGAATACATTTCTGGGGGTGATAATTGATCATAAATTATGTTGGAAACCACACATCAATAATGTAAAAACAAAAATATATAAAACCATTGCAATATTATGTAAAACTAAAGAATTCCTGAATCAAAACTCACTGTATATATTGTATTGTGCACTCATAGTTCCATACATTACCTACTGTGTGGAGGTATGGGGAAACACATACAAAACCAACATTCATCCTATTTCCATGCTACAGAAAAAAGCTATAAGAATTGTAAATAGATCTGATTATTACGAACCAACTAACGCACTATTTATTAACATACACGTTTTAAAATTCAGCAATCTAGTCGATCTAAAAACTGCTCAGATAATGTACAAGGCACACAATCATTTGCTTCCGAACAGTATTCAGAGGTTTTTTTAAACTAGAGAGAGCCGGTATGAACTAAGGGGAATAGGTGTGTATAAACCAAAGGTAAGGACAAACATAAAGAACAGGTGTATTTAGGTAAAAGGGGTTAATTTGTGGAATACTTGTGCCATGGAATTAAGAATGTGTAATTCACTTTCCAGATTTAAACTTTTGTTTAAAAAAATGGTGTTTATCAAATATAAAAGGTCGGTTTGATTATTTTTTGTGAGTGTGACTTCTGTTTTGTTTTTTGTTTGTTTCATTTGTTTTGTTTTGTAACCAAACTAGTAGTGTCTTAAATAATAAGATTTGTAATAAGTGTAGGTGTAATAAGCTAAAGCTTCTGCCTACACCTTTTTGGTCAAAAAAAAAAAAAAAATGTTTTTGTTTTTTCTTTTGACTGAAATAAATGATTACTACTAATACTACTACTACTACTGCTTAATAATGCCTTAACTAATGTTAATTAATGTACCCTTATTGTAAAGTGTTACCGTCATTTTTAATGTCACTGTGGGGATATCTGTCAGTTATCCAAAAAGTTAAGTAAAAAGTCTGACATGATGAGAAATGTTGTTGACATATAGCGTTGTAGTTGGATCTTAACTAGGCATAGTCAGTTTATAAAAGGTAAACACACAGTGAGCGTCACAAAATGTAATGTTTGTTAGATTTTAATAGGTCAATAACTTCCTGTTTTTGTCTTGAAACAGATTTTTATTTATTGAATGTCATAGTATTATTAAAATGTAATGAGCGAGACTGTGATATAATATTTCATTTAGTCACATTTACAATAAATAGGACCTTCTCTCACATCCTAAAAGCTGGCATGCCAACCACTTGAACTGCACAAGTAAAGCTTTTATTGATCAGAAGATTAGAAAGTTAAGAAGAGTAGAAAATGTATTTAACTGTCAAGAAGAAACAAAGCTAAAGAAATACAGTTTTGTAAGAAATACATTTGTTCTAAACAGACAGAACATTTTGGTCTGTTTTCTCCTCATCGTCTCTTCCTCCATGGAGCTCAATTTTAAAAATGTTGTCCACATTCATACTGTCTATATGTTGGTGTCAGCGTTGGCAACTCTGCACCAGTTCACAGTGGTACAAAGCTTGCCAATGGACTCTTTTCTCAAGAAAACGTACAAAATTAAGTCTGCAAGAGGACTCAGCTTAATAAACATAACAGATAAGCCAAACACAGTTCGGTCTAATATGTTCATGTACTTGAGAAGAGTGAAAATTATGCAGGGCAGGAACAGCAGTGTGTAAATGAGCAGCACCAGGACCAACATTCCAACAATTCTACGTTTTTCTTCAGAGGGGACGGAGACGGAAGCAGAGAGCGCTTTGAAGGTCCCAACCAGGAAGAATATGAACAGTGGGAAGGGAATGATGAAGAAAATTACATAGACGCAATATATCACTTTAACAGGAACCCGGAGAAACCAAGAGAGGAGAAACGGAGGGAGCAAAATGACATGAGGAATGAGCCAGGCCACGACACTGACCACCACAGAGATCTTGATGGTTCGTTTGAAGCGGTACCACAGTGGGTGGGCGATGACCAAATATCTGCAATAAAAGATGGACACGTTGTCTTTGAGGAGGTGCAGAATAAGTCCGAAATATTAAAGTCAGAAACAGACGTAGCTACAGGACGTATAGTTACCTTTCCAGTGAGACACACACCATGAAGCGAATACTGGTCACTAGGCTACTGCGGTAAATATAACGTACGATGTCATCATTCTGTTTTATCTCCTGAATGAGCAGGAAGCAGAACTGAATGACGTCAGTAATGAGAAGGTTGATGACGTAGATTGGAGCCACATGATCCTTTCTTACCTGCAGAAAAACACATGAAGACAATCAGTTGTAAACATGTTCTCATCCTTCTCCTGCCCAGCTGTTGCAGTAAGAGACAGTAATTCAACTGAATCCTTGCCCCTGAGCCTGATCCATATAGAGGGGCAGCAGAGCTCTATGGGATTTGCTGAAGACGCCGCTGATGAAGCAATTAAACTGTGAGGCAGCAGAGACTTCAGACTGTGCTCTGCACTCTAGTCCATTTACCTGGCAAACGTCTACTTATGTAGCACACAAGATGGACGAGCTGCTGCTCCTGACAGCACAAATACAGACTTTAGCAGATCCACTGCCCTGTGTTTCACTGAAACCTGGCTCAGTGAACACCTCCTGGACTTTCAGTTCTTATCACCCTCCTCATGTGACATCAATATATGCACACTGCTTTAACACAGTAAGAACTGTCTACCTCTCAAAAATTGATTGTTGATCTGATTCTGATCCTGAGACTGTTCCACAAACACATGGCACAGACAGTAAATGAATAAAGTCATGTAATGTACATACCAGAAAGCAAAGAGCATAGATGACCATGAGCGTCAGAGGAAGGCCGATACTAATGATGATGCATGTTACCACGTGCCTTATGAAATCTAATTTTTGGTAATACTCATAGCTGGCATTCCAGTGGGTGACGTTATTGTAGTTTTCTGTCATTCTTCAGATTGAAACCTAGAGCTAAAGAGATCAAGACATAGGGAGTTTTTAAGAAATGGGTTGCACTGTGACATAAATGAAGCAATGACCAGCACTAATAAAAAAATTAAACAGGGAGTCATTAACCATGTGTTTTTTCTGCAAGTGTAAAAACTGATGATTGTTAAATAGTTTAGTCAAACTTTTTTTATTTTTTTTTTATTTTATTTTTTTTATGTTTTAAATGATCCCTTTTGATTTGGACATCTAAGAGGATGATTCACTGGTCAGGACTGCTGAATACGTTAAACATGGGGCTTTCATCATAGAGAATTTACTTGAGTCAAGATCATCTAAACAGATATGAATCAAACTGTAGGAAAGCACCAGATCTTTGATTTACTCAAGTCAAATACAAGTTCAGTCACACTGAGTCAAAGTCAAAAAATGTAGTTTTTTTGTTCATTATTTCAGATTTTCTTAGTTGATGAAATGTTATAATGTTTATATTTTGAATTTCAGGTAAACACAGTGTTACCTTCAGTTAAGCAACAACCATAGCCAATCAAACATAGCGTCTCTCAACAATGTTTTTTCAGACATTTCAAATATCACAATCTGCTAATTAAAGTAAATAAATGGGTCTTGAATAATCCTCCGCTGCCCTGATTCTGCATCTGATTCATCGATGTTATTAGATCATTTAACTCTAACTCGCAGGGAGAGTTTCAAAGATAACCACAAAACTCTTCTTCACACCTCAGCTGTTGTCATTTCCTGGAAAATTAAAACATTTCTAGAAATACATCTCAGTGGGTTATGATGGTTTGGAGGAAAGGAAACAATGTGTGATTATATTAAGAGAAAAAAATCATTTGAATCTGTTAATATACGACGGAGGATTAGGGCCAATTTAAAAAAAATAAAGTAAATTTACAAGATTAAAGTCGTAAATTTACGAGTTCGAGACCAGCCTGCGTGAAACTGATGAAAGGAGAACCCTTAAAGTCTTTAAAGAATAAAAGAATAAAGTCTTTATTTAGTCTATATGAGAAGAGCAGCAGCATCCTGTTCTCAAATGACAAACATGGAGCATCTTGTCCTAAAGGTTTCACTAATAAGGAAATAGGATACTTCCTTGTGTAGTCGGTTAGGGTTAGGGTCAAGAGAAGTTTCACTTCAACTTGTAAGAACTTGTTTATCTGTAAAATGATGAACAGAACACAAACTGTCTCTGCACACGAGACACTTTAACAAGGCAGACCGATAACAGACACTAATAGTTGTGTTGGAGCTTTACTTATGCAGATATGAAACTACACATGCTTTTGGCACATCATCATCTTTACATTGTCATAAAATATCAGCACCCTGAAAAGATACTGCAAGAAACTGAAGAAAGAACCACACTGACTTGGAGGAAGTTGTGTCTGAAGATGAAAAGACTGTAAGAGTTCTACTTTCACAATTTTCGCACAGGCTGGTCTCGAACCCGTTAATTTACAACTTTAATCTAGTAAATTTACGAGTTTAATCTCGTAATTTTACATTTTTTTACGTGGCCCTAATCCTCCGTCGTAGTTAATAAACTCAGAGTTTATTTGTAAATACATTTTAAGAGATTTATTTCAAGCACATTTTTGGTCTTTTTTTTACTCAGACACATACTTGTGATTTTAAGAAATAACAGAGTAACCAGCCCCACCAAACAAATATAAATATATCATCAGGTTCATATTTATTCTCAGGACTGTTTGCATTTCCTTTTCTTTTCAATTGTATTTGTAATAAGACCACAACACTGACATTTTAAAGTTACCAGATCTCACCTGAATGAAGTCTCAGCACCAATGTCTGATGTTTCTCTGCAGCCGAACTGTCTAAAGTGATTCAGATAAGTGATGGAACACTTGGTCACTGATAATATAACACACCTCTTCTAAGGAAGTGAGAAAAAAAAAGCCAGGCATGTGTATAGTGAGGGAGGAAGAAACTGCAACACAAGCAGAAGCTGTTTGAAATAAGAAAAGCCGATACCTTCTTTACATTTGAGAACTAGCAGAAGTAGCTGTGTTAGAATTAGTTTATTTTGTCATGTGTGGACCGTAATAATGTCGAGCATGTTTATGGACACTGGTAGCCCCCATTCTCATGTTTATTTTTGATATTTGTATATTAACTTGTTCAATCATTATGGCCGGCAGCCTGAGACCTCACTCCCTTTTTGATTTGTTCCCCTGTAGGTAATTACCCAATGAACATCGCCTGCTTCACCCAGCCACTGGATGATCAGCAGCTAAGAGGCTCCATATAATCACACCAGCTCTGCAGTGGGAGATCTCTGTCAGTCTTGCTGTGGATCATTGTGTTGAAAGATTTGTGGTGAGGTTGGACAAGGTAAATTGGGGTTCCCCTACATTTGCTACACATACATAGTTGACTTTGTTAGAAACACTAGGTAAGTCTGGTTTGTGCCACCTATGTAGTTTTCTCTGTGGAGAAAGGAAAGGGCGATGGGATCCGTGGTTTCCAGTCTTCAAGACTTGTCTGGCCTCCACAAGTCCCAGGAAAAATAGCCAGGCGGGTGCCAGTCCAAGGAGACTGCTCTCACTGTTTGCCTATGGACACAGACATAGAGTCTGTTTGCTGCCAGGAATTTACAAGATGCCAATTCCTTCTGGAAGAAATCTTGGAATCAGTTGAGGACACGGCCGTATGTGTTGAAGTAAATATGTCTGTAAATAGAGCATCTTAGTGGGAGTGGCCTGCGGTGCTGTGCATTTTGGGAGTTGTTGTCTTTTATTCACGTCCAAAGATTTTAAGTTGCTGCCGTCAGGCCTCAGATTCAGTCTGCCAGCATGCAGGACAAAGAGGATGGGAAACTCATTTGTTCCTGCTGCCAGATTCATGTTTCAACAGGGGAAGTATCCCTTTAAGAATGCATTGTCTTAGCTATAACATGTTCTCTTTATTATTTTTTTATATTTTTATTGCCACTTTTTCAAAATAACAGGCAAACAGTTAGACTTAGACTTAGACTTAGACTTTCTTTATTGTCATTCAAACTTGTACTTTACAGTGCAGATAAGAACAAAATTTCGTTGCATTTGGCCCGTTGTAGTGCAGGATAAAAACAGCAGCATGTATTTACGTATAAAAAATAAAAATAAGGTGCAGATATAAATAGATATAAAAAGAAAAACTATGAGTAAAAATACTATACAGATAAATATATTGCACGTTATATTGTGTTTTACAGTCCAGTGAGGTAGTCCTGTGTGGGGGTTTGAGGGGGAATGGAGGGATTCTTTTTTCCTGTTCAAAAGTCTTATGGCCTGTGGGAAGAAGCTGTTACAGAACCTGGAAGTTCCACTTCGGAGGCTGCGGAACCTCTTTCCAGAGTCCAGCAGCGAAAACAGTCCTTGGTGGGGGTGGGAGGTGTCTCTGCTGATTTTCTGAGCCCTGGTCAGACAGCGGATCTTTGCGATCTCCTGGATGGGAGGAAGTGGAGTCTTAATGATCTTTTCCGCCGTCCTCACCACTCTCTGCAGGGACTTCCAGTCAGAGGCACTGCAGGCTCCGGACCAGACAGAGATGCAGTTTGTTATAATGCTCTCTATAGTGCCTCTGTAGAAGTATATTGTACTTGTGATTGAAATTGTATTTAAAACCAAGAATCGTTATAAAAATCCGCTCACAGATGCGGTTCATTGACTGTACAGTTATTTTACAGCAAAAATAAATAGTCTGGTAAGGTCTCAAAAGTATCTAGGGCAAAAACAAAGTCACATAATTTAAATCTGGCCTGCATCATTACTAATGTGTACATGTTTACAGTCTGAGTGATAAGTGGGCTATACCGAGAGTAACAGGTTTTACTTTCACCGTGCAGGCTGAAATTCATAGTACTATATGTGAGGGTAGAATATTTCTCTATGTATCCAGATAAAACTAAAGGTAAGATCTGATTTAATATAACTGTTACTGATTTAAGAGACTAACCGAAACGTGAACGCAAACATCAACAACCGGCGGCGGTGTAATGTAATATTAACCGAGCATCATGCTGCTTAAACGTTATAAATATTCTGCATTGTCTTCCACACACGACCAATTCAACAGTCACAAGTTGATCATATTGTAAATTTAATGACGCTCATTGAGGATTAGTTCTAAAAATGGACAAAACCTGACAAACATTGCGGTGATTGTGACTGTGTCTGTATTTAACACCTTTGAAAGGAAGGTGTTAATGCAGGAGACCAGTGTTACACACAACATGCTGCTGTTATGTTAGTTAGGAGGAGACAGAGGCACAATAAAAGAAGGCATAAAGATCGCGTTTTTCCCCACACATGTTAATATGTTTTAAATGTCATGCATTTATTTTTTATTTCACTTCAATAATCGTTAACAAAGAGAAACACCATGATTAAACTACAGGCTATTGTTGCCTTTTTATAGCCAAAGAAAACTGAACATCCACAGCCTCTGCATTCAAAAGAATTTCAACATTGACATTTATGTCTTCCTATTTCCCTCTTTTCACCAACATTATATTTTAAACAGGGATTTCCTTTTTCTCTAGTCTCTGGTCTCTCCCCCAGCTCGCCCCCTCCGGTGCGGAGGAACAATCTGTACTCTCAAATAACAAAGCAGTCTCAAATCTTTTTGAGAAATTACAGCTAAAAAAAATCTACTTTGCATACAGTACATCCTCTGATAAATAAAGTGAAGTACTTTGATTGTATTTCTGTGGTGTTCCTGTAGGAGACCATGATGCAGCCAGGCTGAAGCAGCAGGTTGTGAAGGTGGACGCCATCATCTTGTCTTTGCAGTGTTGATTCTGAAGAGAACGCCTTACATAGGACTCAAAGGTAAAATGATCTCTCATATGATTGGACCGTGTTATTGTAACTGCTATCAGCATGAAAGTAATTTTAGTAACAATTTATAATCCTTCCTAAAATGTAAGGAAGACTAGCAGAAGATTTTAACAGCCTCTATGGTTCTGCAAGAAG